GGGGGCTGTCTTTTTGTTGTCTGTGGTTTCCTTTATTCGTGCAAAAGCTTTTGAGTTTAATTAGGTCTAATGTGTTTCTTATTTCCATAATACAGGACATAGATCAAAACAGACACTGCTGTGACTTACGTCAGGGAATGCGGTTCTGTGTTCTTCCAAGAACTTTATAGTGTCTGGTCTTGCCTGTAGGTTTTTAATTCGTTTAGAATTATTTTTTGTATGGTGTTAGCTGTTGTTCAGTTGCTCAGTCATGTCCAACTCTTTGTGACCCCATGGACTGGAGCAGCCAGGCTTCCCTGTCCATCACCATCTCCCAGAGTGTGTTCAGACTCATATCCATTGAGTCAGTGATGCCACCCAATGATCTCGTCCTCTGTTGTCCTCTTCTTCTCCTGCCTTCAGTCTTTCCCAGCATCAGAGTCTTTTCCAAGGAGTTGGCTCTTCACATCAGGTGGCCACAGTATGGGAGCTTCAGCACCAGTCCTCCCAGTGAACACCCAGGACCGATCTCCTTCAGGATAGACTGGTTGGATCTCCTTGCAGTCCAAGGGACTCTCAAGAGTCTTCTCCAACACCACAGTTCAAAAGCACCAATTCTTTGGCGCTCAGCCTCCTTTATGGCCCAGCTGTCACATTCATACAGGACTACTGGAAAAACCGTAGTTTTGACTAGACGGACCATTGTCGGCAAAGTAATGTTTCTGCTGTTTAATGTGCTGTGTAGGTTTGTCACAGCTTTTCTTCCAAGGAGTAAGCGTCTTTTAATTTCATGGCTGCAATCACCATCTGCAGTGATTTTGGAGCCCCCCAAAATAAAGTCTGTCACTGTTTCCATTGTTTCCCCATCTATTTGCCATGAAGTGATGGGACCAGATGCCATGATACTAGTTTTCTCAATGTTGTGTATTAAGCTAGCTCTTTCACTCTCCTCTTTCACTTTCATCAAGAGGCTCTTTAGTTCTTCTTCACTGTCTGCCGTAAGGGTGGTGTCATCTGCATATCTGAGGTTATTGATATTTCTCCCAGCAATCTTGATTCCAGCTTGTGCTTCTTCCAGCCCAGTGTTTCTCATGATGTACTCTGCATATAAGTTAAATAAGCAGGGTGACAATATACAGCCTTGACATACTCCTTTCCCAATTTGGAACCAGTCTGTTGTTCCATGTCTGGTTCTAACTGTTGCTTCTTGACCTGCATACAGATTTCTCAGGAGGCAGGTAACGTGGTCTGGTATTCCCATCTCTTGAAGAATTTTCCACAGTGTGTTGTGATCCACACAGTCAGTCTTTTGCATAGTCATTGAAGCAGAAGTAGATGCTTTTCTGGAATTCTCTTGCTTTTTCTGTGATCCAATGCATGTTGGCAATTTAATCTCAGGTTCCTCTGCCTTTTCTAAATCCGGCTTGTACATCTGGAAGTTCTCAGTTCACGTACTATTGAAACCTAGCTTGGAGGATTTTGAGCATTATATACCTTACTATCATGTGAAATGAGTGCAATTGTGCAGTAGTTTAGGTATTTTATTCTTGTTGATGTGATGGTAACTAGGATTGTTTCTTTAACTGGAAATTCTTTACTGGTAATAATTTTTGAGCAAGGGGGTCCTATGTTTTCATTTTACTCTGGACTTAACACATTAGTAGCTGGTGCTGGCTCTGACCCTTACTAACCAGATACCTGTGCACACAGGAAGAGTGGATCCTAAAACTACTCCCCTCGTGGGGTGATTTTGAGGATTAAAAGAAGGACTCAATTAGTTCTAACTTGAGGGAGTGTCTTTACAGCAGCTGGTACAGAAAGTAGTCCATATATTTCAGCATTTGCTTCAGACCCTCTCGGGTCAAAATTAACAATTATTGAAAACCCCCTAAGAGAGCTTTTGCTTATTTGGGCTTTAGCTGTCAGTCTTCACTGTATCAGACATTAGAGCTGAGAAAACATTGAAACACACAACCATGCAAGCACACATTCCCTTCGCTGTCAGAGTGGGGATGTCATCTGGGTCAGGTTGCTCTGAAAAACTCCACTGTGTACTCAAGACAGAATAAGAGTGAAGACGGCAACCAGTACCTTTGTATTGTTCTGAAAACTGTTGTGTCTGCTTAGATCACCTGGAAGGGTCTTAAGAGACCACCCCACCACCCTTCTCAATCACGGACCCTCAGATCCCACTCTGAGAACTGCTGAATGAAATCAGCCCACTCCAGCATCCAACAGGGTGGGTAGTATTCACACAAGAAACTAGCTTTTCGTTACGTAAGTGAAGGTCTAATCTACCACTGTCTCATAAAACGGTGTTTCTTACACCATGACTGTGTTCCACACTCTTCTTAGGAACATAGGCCCTGTGTTTAACATTTGACAGTAATGATACAGATCAGCCTCTGGATAGAACTGTCTTGAGCAGATGAACATAGGAAGCTGAGAACAAAGGTGTTTGCCTTTAACCTGTGCTCAGACAGAATGAGCTTACTTTTTGTTGAGGAAGTTTTACCCTTAGAGATAGTTTTATCTAGAAACTCCATTCACCTGGCACACAGCTGTGAGAACCAGGCAGCTATCACAGAGTTTGTGCGCTAAAAGTTTAACTCTTTCAGTGGAAGCACCCAGGCCTTCTTTCCAAGCCTGCCCCTATCTATTTTTTGACAGAGGTTTAAAAACTTTGTAAATTAGCTTTATAGTCCACAGATGAATGTAGGCAGGTAAAATAACAATAACCAAAACAAAAACAAGGCCCTCCGGGGAAAGTTCATATATAAGCACATATCCTGAATAATGGGTAAGTCATCCTAGCTTGAAGCACAGTACCAACTCATGCCAGAATTTATCTACTAGTATTTATCTTCACTCTATGGAGAATGGGACAAATAAATGAGTTAGCACTGCTGGCCTCCGCAGTGTGGGGCTGACAGTCATGTAAGCAAGCAGTGAGAAGCGGATATGATGAACAGGAATGGCACTGGTAAAGATGTGTTGTCTGTGAAGGATCACCTCTGGGATGAATTAGAGACAGTTTCAAAGAGAGTGCATTTTGAGGTGTGTGTTGAATGAGAGGACAGGAGGACTGGGATGATAGCTGGAGCATTAAACTTCAACCAGATTGCGGAAGGATTTGGAAAGTGTCCTGGGGGCCAATGATATGTGGAGGTGAGGGGCACAAGGAAGAACTTTGATGTGTTTCTGGTTTGTATCACCAAGGGGATGGGAGCAGGCTTGAAGGGTGAGTTTGGACTTACAGATACCAGACTTGAGGTGTCTGCAGGAAGGGATATTTAGGGGTGCAAAAGGCAAGTAAGATGGAAACTGAAAGGTAACTGGCATTCAGAGTGCTGTACTAGAGCTAGCAACTACTTAAAAACTTCAAATTTGCTCAAGTAATGTAGAAAAATAATTTTAAGGGACTCACTTCTGTCTTAAAGATGGTGGATAAATGAATGAACACTTGATCTTCAGCGGCTTTTCATCCAGCTCACCCACATAACATGTGAAGATGCTCTAGTACAGGATTAACTTGCTCTTTTCTTATTTAGACCTAAGAGCAAGCTACATCTGATTAAATCCAGAGGTAACATATGCAGCATGTAGTGTAAAATGAAAATCACTACAGAAGACAATCCACCCCAAAGCTGTATACAGATAAATGAGTCAAACACTTTTGCTAAAGTTGTACTTTTCCCCCCTTTCTCCGTTCTCTAATATGAGATCAGCTGCATTCCTGACTGAAGGGCAGATCCTTGGAGTACTGTTAGTACCGTAAAATCCAGAAGGTATTTGAAAAACTAACCCAGATGAGTGGGGGGGACTCTAGAAGCAGTCCTCACTTTCTGCTATAACTGCATATCCTATAGCTGCATAGACTAGTAGCAAGTACCTAGTTATTTTGAGGCTGTCTGTGTCATTTAAACAGTACTGCTAGTTGTCACATTTCCAGGGATCTTACTTACTGGTGGTGGTTTAGTTGGTAACTTGTGTCCAACTCTTGGGACATCATAGACTGTAGCCTCTTAATTCTTCTTAATCTAATTAAGAGGCAGGCTAACATTTTGAAATAGTCACTTAAAAAGACCATCAGACTCCTTGGAAGGAGCCAATCATGTGGCTTGCTTCAAACTGGTGATAGTACTGACCTCAGCCAGAAGTCTCTGTTCACTTCCTGTGACAGCATCAGGTCAAGGCAAAGGCTTATTTTATAAGCTTTACTGTGAAATGTATTAATATCCACACTAGCAGAGAGGGTGGTAATTTAATTTACATAGTAAATGCCTAACAACTTGCTGACTAAGGAAGCTACCTACCTTGGAACTTGGGCTAGAGGCTTGTGAGATTTGAAACCATCTGCCACTGTCTTGCAGGTCAAGTCCCATCTGTGATTTTTGACTCCAGATATTCATACACCATTAGGTATATCTAGGACCCTGTCCCTCTCATTAAAGTGAGAGTGCGCTGGGTTTGAACTCCATTCAGACACTTAGCAGCTTTGAGCTAGAAGCAAATCATGCTTTGCCTTTAAACTTCCAGAGATGGTAAACTTCAAAACACATTGTAAACTATAAATATTATTAGTAATAAGAGTTAACTTTTTGATTACTAATCAACTAAACATATTTTAAAAGGTTTTCTACCTAGTGTTTGTTGAAAATCAGTGTAAGGATTTAAAGATAATATAAACTATGACATGTAAATTAATATAACTGTAAACATGTAAGTAATTGTCTAGTTTGCATTTCTGAAACAGAAAACCTAGGAAAGCATGCAGATGTATTGTGGTAGGCTAATATACAGTCCTATCTAGAAAGATGAACCTGTACTCTCGGAGAACCTGAAGCCCTTGACAAATTCCACAGGTGCACTAGAAACCGCACGTACCCGGTAGAAACCACAATATGTGCACATTAGCAATACCCTGGAATTGTCACACACAGAGAGAGGGTTTGTAAGGTTTCTCTTTCCTCCCTCCTCCTATCACAGCGCAACAGGAAAATGAAAAAACTGATACATACTCATCATGCACAATGGTGGGGCCATCCCTGGTCAAGGCCTCTTCCTTGATGACGTTGATAAGCTCAAAAGTGCTGCTGATGGGGGCATCTGGGTTGGGCCATTTGGGACACTGGAAATGTCGAACTTCGAGGACATAGTCATCCTGCAACCAGTATGACACGAGTCACAGGTCATCCTTCACTTTATCCCATCTATAGTCTTAACAACCAGAACTTGCTCCTGGGGAAGTACATGGTCTAGATAGCTGAAAAATGCCATCACTGCCTGGAGCCCCACACTGCTCTGAGGAGGAAAGACTAGGGAGGTCTGCCTGACAGTTGGCGCGTGAGACTGGCGGTGTGGGGGTGTAGTTGCTACAGTTGTGTCCGAATCCTTTCTGATGCCATGAACTCTGGTCGTGCTCCCCTGTCCATGAGATTTCCCGGGCAAGAATACTGGAGTGGGTTGCCATTTCCTTCAGGGGAGCTTCCTGTCCCAGTGACGGAACCTGTGTCTCCTGGACTGAAGGCAGATTCTTCACTGCCAGGCCACCAGGGAAGCAACAAATGAGGTTATCATAGTGAAACAGGATCCTGTTCGGGCAAACGTTTTAAGGGACAACAAACTATAAAAGACTTTATATCCTATTCTATCTTATCTAGAAAAATAAAAACAAGGAAGGGGTAAGGACATCAGTATTTAATTTACTGAATAAGATAGCTCCCCTCTTAACCACTCCATAGGAAGGTAGTTAATTACTCATCAAAATGCTGTGTATTTTCTTTTTTTAATGTATAATCTTAATACCATCCCCTCTGCAACATATTGTAAGGCTTACATTTCTGATGGCAAAGTAACTACAGAGCTCTAGTATCTTGTTTTTATAATTAGGTCAACAAGCCCATTTGTATGCACGTTCAATCAGAGGAACTGCTACATTTCATCCTTCCACCTGGAAAAAGCAAATACTTGAAGGAAGCAAAAAAGGAAGTGTGCACATTTAAAATTAGGTCATACTCAAGACGCCTGCCTGGGCCTGTAACCAGGGTCATAGATTACTTCCTTGTGACTTAGAATCGCCCTGTTACCTGAGGTTGAGGTTACCTGTGTAGCTTCAAGGATAAAGTCATGGATGATAATTTGCTCTTCATTAGAGAGGCACAGTCTGTCTTTGCTGATAAGGGTGACGGTAAAGGCCTCACAGTTCATGGATTCTTCTCGACTGGGCCAGTACACAAACTCATCTTCAGCCTACAGGTACCAAAGAAAAAAGTTAATTGCAGGGCTGTCAACCATTTGTTCTTGAATTTTCTTACCAATTTCTTAATGTTTGCAATTTCCCATAATTCCCAGATCATCTTTTAAGTTGGGTTCACAGAATTATTGATATACCCATATTGCATCATGCTGCAGTCAGTGGTTATTGTATTTTATTGTAAAACACAATCACTGGTTTTTGGCACCTCTCATCTATGTTACTCTAACAACCAAAAAGGCTCCTTCTGTAGGGGATGTCTAACCCCTAGCTGAGAAATGCTGTGTAATGGTAAGTGTGAAAATAAAAAAGGAGATATGATCTCCTATGCTATCAATTTTATTATTTCACAGTGGCTTAATGCAACTAAGATACGCTAATTGTTGTTCTGTGGATTATGTTATTAAGAGTTCTACAGTTGACTAGCATTTTCCAAAAGACTTTTTGTAAACATTATCTTATGTACTTTTCTTAATATACTAGTGAGGGAAGGCAGTTTTTATCTTCTGTCTTTGTAGATGAAAACACCAAGGCTCGGGTCCATAAATAAGCATGCTGGCTCTTAAGTATAAGGTGCTTTGTAAAAGGGAAGTTAAGCTGTCAATGTTAAGACTTCAAGTCTTTCAGTCTTGAATCAGGCAAGCTTTAAATGTTTATCTATTTTAAGAGTAAACATAAATATTCAGTAACAGAAACTACAGTACATAAAATAGATGAGCAATAACAATTTACAGCTCAGAGAGCAATATTCAAGTATCTTGTAATAACCTGTAATGGAAAAGAATCAGAAAAAATAACTGAATCACTTAGCTATACATCTGAAACTAATGCAGTATTCAGGCCTGATACTTGAATCCCCTCCCTGAAAACTATGAATGCCTAAGAAAAAGATAACCGTTGCCTAGGTTGGAGACTGAGAAATACAGTCATTATGATGAGCCTTGTCTCCTTTTTCTCATCAGTTCAAATGGCAAATTACAGTTTGCTTGTAAAATATAGATTTCTATGGGCATTTTCCTGAAAAAGCCTAGACACTATACTAGTGAAGTCAGAAATAATTCTGAATAATGTTCAAAGCAAAGTTTTGTTTAATCTTACATTGTTGCATTAGAAATGAGCCAACAGTCCAATAAGACTTATCACCCTTTCAAGTTTCAATATAGTTTATTGCCAAGTACATTTTTATTTTTAAAGCTCAGCATAAGGGGAAACAGATTAGCAATCGGGTTTAGTCTATACAAAAGAAGTCTGTAACTGTCTTGGATTTTAATACACTGTGCCCTAGGATGTGGAATTAGGACCCTTTTACCAGATATTCTGGTGGCTCAGCAGTAAAGAATACACTTGCAATGCAGGAGATGTGGGTTTGATCCCTGAGTTGGGAAGATCCCCTGGAGGAGGGCATAGGAACCCGCTCCAGTATTCTGGCCTGGGAAATCCCATGGACAGAGGAGCCTGGCTGGCTACATAGGGTTACAAAGTCAAACACCACTTAGCAACTAAAACAACAACAAAGACATATGATGAACAAGGCCTCTAAATCTGACCAAATACACAGATTAAGCATAGGACTGGATATGATCCTGAATAATCTAACTAAGCCTTAATTTCCATATTGGAAAAGTGGGAATAATAAAACTATGTAACTCAAATAACTATTATGATGATAATATGAATTAGAAATTCTCTAATTGGCCTAACAACTGCCAAAAGGAGTTAGTAATGGTGGAGGAAATGGCAACCCACTCAAGTCTTCTTGCCTGGAGAACCCCTTGGACAGAGGAGCCTGGTGGGCTACAGTCCATGGGGTCACAAACCCCACAACCGAGCAACTGACAAAAAGGTGAAAGAAGGGCAGAAAAACAGTTTTGAACACATGACAGTAAACTAGGGAATAATGGCTCAACTGGACAGACTATTACAAAGAAACAATGCCACTGACTTCAGCATTTTGCTTATGGATAAGGCAAAGATGTCTTGGCCACAGTGACTTTTGGACCATCCACAGAATCATGGTCTTGTAAAGTTACAGTAGTGATAAATAACAAAGCACACAAAAAATGCAGAGACATTATCATGTCTGACTCTTTGCGACCCCATGGGCTATAGTCCGCCAGGCTCCTCTGTCCATGGGATTCTCCAGGCAAGAAGACTGGAGTGGGTTGCCATGTCCTCCTCCAGGGGATCTTCCTGACCCAGGGATCAAACCCAGGTCTTATACGCTGCAGGCAGATTCTTTATCGACTCAGCCAGCAGGAAAGCTCTTAGAAAATGCTACGCGGTACTGAATCTGACTTTCCACCTCTGAGCTATGAGCGAGGACGTGCCGGACTCCACCATCGCCTCCCTGGGCCGGAGAGAGACCCGGAAGTGACAGGCCGGGCCTGCAGCCTCGCTGCCCGCACAGCGGACTCACTGGATCCAGGCTCCCACTCGCCTGCCCGTGCAAATGAGCTTGTGGGTAGAGACGCTTTCAGTGGCTGTCCTCTGTTCCGTGAGGATAACAAAAACACTGACTCATCCAACAAATGCACGTTTTAACAACCCTAAATGCCTCCAATTTCCATATGCCAAACAGAAGAGACCCCTATTGCCAGCTAATTTGAAAATTTACACTCCAGTTTTTAGCTTAAGATTCTCAACTCTGTTGCCATTCTATCACACAGAAGCAGTCTTGGTATTCTGAAGCTGGAGCAGAAAGCGACGAAGTGAAGTTCCTACTGACTGGGCACATAGTCAAACGCATGTCATCAAGACTAGGGGTTCAGTCACATGCTGTTCTTTCTGATTAAAAAACTCACTACTCCTGACACTCAAGGAAGCAGATCATTTTTGTTTTTGTTTTTCCTCTGTGTGCTTCCATGTCCTCGTAGTAACTTCTGAAGACCCAACTGATTGAAAACCTGAGGCAATGAGAGTGCAGTGGTACCACTTAAAACTTATTTTCATAAACGTGCTCACCCTTCTCCTCTAGGGTCTTAGAGACCTCAATTGTTGTTTAGTTGCTAAGTCGTGTCTGACTCTTTGTGACTCTCTGGACTGTAGCCTGCCAGGCTCCTCTGTGCATGGGATTTCCCAGGCAAGACTACTGGAGTGGCTTGCCATTGCCTTCTCCAGGGGATCTTCCCAACCCAGGAATCAAACCCAGGTCTCCTGCATTGGCAGGTGGATTTTTTACCTCTGATCCACCTGGAAAGTCTGGAGACCTTGATAGGGAAGGACTAAAGGGAGGAGAAAGAATTAGTAGCTTAGTTGAGGTCTTTAAAAAGCACTGTTAATTTCCAACAAAAAAGTCTCTCCTTTTCTCCTTCCCTGTAACAGATCTGGCTTGCCTATGGTGTGGGGGGAAATGATGATACATTATTAGTACTTTTGATACTGATTTTTTTGGGGGGGGGGACTGGGAAACATTTCTATGATGTGGGGTTGGACATGTACAATAACAAAATAAGACAAGGGACTCAAATCATGGCTGTAATTATTTGTATATGCCCCTGGGCAAACTAGTTCCCTCAGTTTTCTGAGCTCCTAAAGGAGGTGAAGACAATACCTATGTCATCAAGTTGTAGAAATGATTTAATGAGTTAATACATGTAAAAACAAGGTGATATATAATCAATACATGTTGACTACTATTATTACTCATTTGTTTTTCAACAGTGACGTATAGCAACGAAGAGATCAGTGTCAGTTCATACACTAGTGAGGTTGGAAAAAGAACTTTTTTTCAAAACCTTCTGTCACCCACTGTGTACAGTAGAGTTGAGGGGTTCTACCACTAAGAATCAAGAATCAAGGATGGGAGCAGACCTATCAAATGAGCAGTCTACATTCCCTCCCCAGCCCATGCAGACACTACCGCCCTATCACAAGGTCATGGATCCTCGGGGCCTCACTTACCAAGCTCTGGTTGTCCGGCAGCATGACGATGATCTGTGCATTGTGATCCCAAATCATCCTCCAGAAATCCTTGGTGGTGTGCGGCAGAGGGTGCTGGGTTATAATAAACTCATTGCTCCTGTAATAGCCCTTTAGTTAGGAAGATGAAAAACCAGCAATTATGAGTGTCTTATTCTAACTCCCCGGTAGTAAAACATATTCATGAAATAAGACCAGCATGGTGCTGACCTCACTGAAACAATCCAAAGAGGCTTTCAGTGCACTTGGCTAATTTTCAGACATACTTCTGCTAACACGTAGAGACAGTTCTCTCTGTGCCCTATTCACTTCTCATTCCCCCTGCTGTTTTTACTTAACAGTAATTTCAACATTTACTCCAAGACTAGATGGGTGAAATCAGTAAGACGATCACTTCCTTAACAAGCTGTTTCTTAAGCATTTTTGTGTCCTCATGGATTAGGTATCCTTTGTTAAAGGTTTCCAGATGCAGAAATCTCTCCAATTTTGATATTACACACCAAGAAAGTATTTGAAAAATCAAAGCTGCATAGGTGGTGTCTGCTCTTTAGCGCCATTCAATGTAAGCGACTTTACTTATAACCAACTGTTGACTCTCACCATGATATAAGAAGCATTAATGTAGTCAGTTCCTTTCATTCCAGGCAACGGTGCAAGACCCACTCGAGCACGTTCAGCTATGACAGAAAAAACAAAAACACATTTGCCTTGGTTACCCACACACCATCAACAGCACCTTGTTGATGGTGCTGAGTTACCTGATGCGCTATAGAGTCCCTTGGCTCCTATTTCTTTTTGGGTCCTGTTTCTTTTTAAGACTTAACCTATGTTGTTAACCAAGCTAAAGCATTATCAGCTAAGACTGAATGTAAAAGAAAACTTTGCACATCCATCTGCATGTGCCCAGAAGGACGCAGGCATTATGGGAATAACACGCAGCTGTGGGAGACGCTTTCTCAGGAGGTCACAAAGAAGCCAGTGACGAAAGAGGAGTTGAGGTCACTGCTGACCCTGGCTTGATGTTCCTACAATTAGACCAACACACTGCACTCTGCCCTTCTGCATCGCCTCACCTTCATCTTTCTGTTCAGGAAGCACTTAGAAAATCTTGGCCTTTTTCGATCCAGAGAATCTCTCCACCGATTCCCTATGTCTGTTTCTATAGCATATGTACAGTACCCTCTGCTGAGTCCCAAGTTACTTACACGGTGGTCACCACCTATGAAATGTCTTGGTCTCAGCTGACAGGATAATTTAATAACTGTAGTTCCAGTTGGACAGATTAAAGCAGGACTCTCTCTTTTAAGAGAGCATTCATGCCACAGTGATAATGACCTTACCTTTCTTTCTAGGGTTTTAAGCTAGGCCATGGTAGAAATAGCCTAACTCTTCAGTCTCGAGGTAAACTTGAAGCTAGATTTCTTGTCCCATAGATACAGCAACTTCCTGGTGCTGACAGCTACCCCTCCCATCTGTTCAATTTGTCCTAAGCATAACTTTTCCCCATGGTGGTGGTTGCCTCTTTACCTAACACATAAAATCTCAAGAAAAAACAAACACAGTCAAGTTGAACCGATGTTAAGCTCTTACATGGCACGACTGAAGAGTTCCGGTTCTTTTCTTTGTTGCACTCTTTCTGAGCACTGAAGCATTCCACATATTTTGCATTGCATTGTGTGACCAGCTGAAAGAAAAGCAACATTTTCGTCCTCATTCAAAGGACTATATTTGTGCATGTGTTAACTTACTGTGGCAAACATTTTCCAGTGTGTACATAAATGTCAAATCATACTTGTGTCCCCTAAACTTAGAATTCTATCTCAATAAAGCTGGGAAAGACAACAGAACAAAAACAAAGCTATAGTTGATAGCATCTGCTTGATGATCTGGCAAAAACGCCAATGATCGGGTAACTAATGACTTTTAAACATTGCTGCACCCTAAGAACAGTTTGTGTCTCACTAGCAGTACTTCCCTCAGCTGTCTCCGTGGATTGCGTCTTCTTTTACTCACTTTTAGGCCTTAGGCTTCTTGGCGGCAGGCTCTGTGTAAGCTGTATTTATTGAATTCATGTGGATTTACTGAATGAACTCTTTGGATTTACCGAATTCATGTGGACTTTCCCCATGTGCTCTCTACTAGAGTGTATGGGAATGGTCTCCTGTTCTACACTGTCCAGGGCCCCAGAGGCAGCCTGAGTTCCTGTTTCTTGTGTTTTCTTTCTAGGTAAGTTCTATACCTGTAAAAGAATAAACAACCCTGTCTCCTTCGATGAATTTTTTAAAACAAGGTATAAACAAATGTTTCAGAAACAAAAGGCAAAGAACTTAAAAAAATAATGGTACTCAACACTGCTGTATTTAAAATGGAGAGCCAACAAGGAGCTGGCGTAGAGCACAGGCAACTGCTCGATGTTGCGTGGCGGCCCGGAGGCGAGCGGAGTGTGGGGGAGCAGGGACGCGTGTCTGTGTACGGCTGAGTCCCTCTGCTGGCCCCCTTAAACTGTCACAACACTGTTAACCGGCTATGCCCCAATAAAAAATGATTTAAAAAAAGAGAAATATTAATTTTTAAGAATGCATATTCAACATTTGAAATAAGACACTGTGTCCTCACTATTAATTAACTTAATGGTTTTTAGAGTGGGTAGGACATTATAAAAGGAGACCTGGAAATGTAAAGTTGTTATGACTGAACCTGGTGAAATTAATCTATTTTTCATTTCATGTCACTTGTTATCATTTGCTTGACAGTCTCATTTCTTCAGCTGAGATTCAAAGGAAGGTTTCAGTGTCTATGGAAAGTTTTACCATGAAAATGAAAACTGCAGCGATTCATCTCATTCTTTTTATCTTGACACAAAATGAGAAATAGAACAATGTACAAAAAAGACAGATTTTTAAAGTCTAATGAGAGACTACTAAATAGGAGGCATTCAGTACTTTTGAGATGGCTAAGCTGCTCTGACCTTAATTACTTTAATAGTTCTTATAGTCGCTCTTTTCACCTTATTTCACTCAATTCCACATAACCCTGTCTTCCCACCTTGTGCCCCTATCAAAGATAACAAAACCCCATTTAGGAAGAATTAACGTTTTCTCTAGTATTGTTAGTAAGTCTTTTTTAGTTTCTAAATCATATACTGGGATAGTCTTTCAAAGAGCTCAGCTTTTAAGATAATGTCAACAAATAGCCGTTCTTCATAAGGGTAAGATAAATTAGGTCAGAAAAAATACAGGGGATTTTTTTTTTTTTGTTCTGACTGGAACAACTAACAACATATTATGTCATTGTGGCCAGGCAAGTGTTTACATTCAAATAAAGTTGTAAACCTCACAGAAGAAAACACAGCACAGCACTCTGTACTCAGATAGCTGCAAACAAGCCGCAGCTTGATTTTCCCATGTATTACATCTCAGGAGTACACCAAGTCATCCATCTCAGTCTAAACATTCATGCAAAAAAGACGTGACCCCTCAACTCAAGGCATTTCCTTACCTCCTTGCTTTTTGCCCAAAGAAATGTACTCAAAGCACTACCTTGAACTGTTTCTCCAGCCGTGTCTTGCCCCCGACTCCCGGTGTGAGGATGCTGTTAACGTAACTGTGCAGCTGACTGGAAGACACTTCAGTCTCCTTCCCGAGAATGGCTTCCAACAAGGCATCGTGGATGAAGATGTACTGCTCCTGAAAGGCAGAGGGCGAGACGGCCACCGAGGTGAGCTGTGCCGGGTACCGCCTGTTTCCTGCAGGAACTCTGCCTTCAAGGAGCTCTTCCCGGGCAGGGGCCTCGTCGTGAATTCCCTCAGTGCCCACTTCCTAACCTGCCAGAGGCGACTCGAGGGCAGGGACCGCATTGGCTTCGGCTCTGTACTCCACACCACGCCCCGAACACGCAGCGGGGAAACGCGTGTTCACTGGAGGGCTTTAGAACCATCCTCTGGGGCCAGACAATGTTTAACTCCCAGAGCCGCGAATACACAGCACTAGGTACAGTGTCCCGGCTTCATTTCATATCCGCACAGAAGTGGGGAACGACCAGATATCCTCGTCAGGACAGCTTCCCATCCAAACCCCTGTGGGTTCCTCCCGGCCCTGTCTGCTGACGCTCCCTCACCCTCCCACTCCAGCTCACGGGAAGCCCACGGGGGCAGCAGTCTCTCCTCACCTCAGTCTGGACGAGGTAGTTGCGCTGAGTCCTGATATGCTTCAGGAATCCCAGGACGTTGACTGTGCTTTTGTCTTTTATCTGTTGCAGCATGCTGTCAATGACGATGTAGGTACCTGTTCTGCCCACACCAGCGCTGGAAGAGAGGCAGATGCTCGGCTAGCACCCCTGCTGCTCGGGCCGGGCACACACCGCGGACTGCAGAAGCAGCCTCCGGGCCTCTCAGGCCCTGAGAAGTAACCCCGTTGTTCGGGGGACCTGCGCAGGTTACGATGTATGGAGGGTATCCACAAACCACAAGAGGGTCCTTCCTGCCTCTTGAGTCTTGATGTGGAGGGAAGACTACCTTCATACCTTGTATGAAAATAGAGACTATGTATACTTAAAAAAAATATATATATATATATATATATATAAGCTACATACGAGCTTTCTTGGCCTTCCTTGTAGCTCAAGAAAAAGGATCTAAGTCCATGATGCCAGGGACCACTCCCACGGAAGCATCACTTGGGTCTCCCGCTCCCCCAGCGATCCTGGGGGAGCCCATCGTCCTTTCAACACACCCGCTTTCTGCTCTCCAGACTCCCCAGGGGCTCAGTATTGGAAAGTTCCTGCTGAAAAGGATACATTCCTTTCATAGTCCAGAGGTGGACCAGGAGAGACCCCCAGGGAGACCCGAGTCCTGCATATTGAACAACAAACTTCTTTTTGGCAGAATCTCTGCCCCCATCCCCCTAGCAGGTTCCCCGTCTGACACAACTCTGCTGATACACAAGCTCTCTGGTAGACCCTCTTCTATTTTAGTGGCTGTACGTGGATTAGCAACAATGGAGAGTTCTCGTGGCACTCTGAACAGAAGACAGGTTTGACCCCTGATACTCTGTGGGCACCTGTTAGGGGAGCCACCTCAAAGACATGCCAGGAAGCTGTGCAGCCATGTAACATACATCACAGAAGCAGCAACATCTGTCTGAACGCCAGAGCCAAGCCATCCAGCACAGCTCAGGAAACCCAAACAGGGGCTCTGTATCAACCTAGGGGGGTGGGATGGGGAGGGAGGCTCAAAAGGGAGAGGATATATGTATACCTATTGCTGGTTCATGTTGAGGTTTGACAGAAAACAGCAAAATTTTGTAAAGCAATTATCCTTCAATAAAAAAATTTTAAAAATACAGTAAAAGCATTTTTAAACAACCAGCTGAGGTTGATTTCCAGATGGCTCAGCGTAAAGAATCCACCTGCCAATGCAGGAGACCCAAGAGACATGGGTTCAATCCCTGGGTCGGGGAGATTCCCCTAGTGAAGGAAATGGCAACCCACTCCAGTATTCTTGCTTGAGAAACGCCACGGGCAGAGGAGCCTGGAGGATATGGGGTCGCAGAGTCGGACACAACTGAGCATTAATGTTACTATTTACTAAGGTTGTTTAAGGTAGTTTAGAAGGGAAAACAGGCTTTATAGGTGCTTTACAAAGGTATTTTATATAGTACCTATAAGCTCAAAGCCTTTTACTCAGAAAATAGATACTATTCTTTGAAGGAACCCTACAGAAAAGCCATAGTCAAAAACTCAAAAGCTCTTCAATGCTCTGTGGTGACCTAAATGGAAAGGAAATGCAAAAAACCGGAGATATATGTACTCATATAGCCGATTCACTTTGCTGTTACAGCAGAAACTAACAAACACTCTAAAGCAACTATACTTCAGTAAAAATTAAAAACCAAACAACAACAACAAAAAAAACCTCAAAGTTTCTAGTGTGGGAAGTTCTAATCTTGTGTTTATGGTTTTTATATATTAGTTAAAGTCTCTCAGTCGTGTCCGACTCCTTGCGACCCCATGGACTGTAGCCCACCAGGCTCCTCCGTCTATGGGATTCTCCAGGCAAGAATAGTGGAGTGGGTTGCCATTTCCTTATATATTAGGAGCTACCAACAACTGCCTTATAAAATAACACTGGATTTTATCAATAATGAGATGGTGTTATACAAACTGGAGACTTATCCTCTAAGAGTTCATTCTGTTTTACCCTCACAAACAGCAGCTGCTTTCTTACTGTTAGAGGACTATAGTGACCTTTAACCGTGACAAGTCTCACCAGTCCCAGTTTTGGGTGGAAGCCTCTATTTCTGTGTCAAACAAAGCAGCGGCAGGCCCACAGTGGCTCCGGTTCCCAAGGCCCACAGCCCCTGCTCTTCCCAGTCCGCGTGGCGCCTCACCTGCAATGCACCAGCACAGGGCCCATCTCCGGCGTGCGGGCTGCCGAGGACCTCCTCACGAAGGTCAGGACCGGGAGGGCGTACTCCGGAACCCCCATGTCGGGCCACTGCGTGTAGTGGTACTGGATCACTATGCGTTCATTCTGCCGCCCCTTGGGATTTCCCTTCTGACCCTAAGAGAAAGGCAAGAAAGGATGTCTTTAAGCCGAGATCGGGCATTCTAGACGAAGATGCTGTAAGGACGGCAGGAATCACCACCTCTGTTCCCATTTGCCCTAATGCTGACATCCTCTCTGTGGTCCTCTCAGGCCACAGATGAGGACATGACCCAGCAGGATGAGAAGGCTCAGATACCTCATAGAAGAGAATATGGTTTCAGTCTGCACCAAGAATGAATGTTTCGTATTTTGTTTTTCTGGATCTGCACCTATCCAAAGAGCTCAGTAATTTGCCTACAAGATTTCTATTTGCTAGGTGCTTCCCTGAGGGCTCAGTGGTAAAGAAACCACAAACCACCTGCCAGTGCAGGAGACACGGGGTTCGATCTCTGGGTCAGGAAGATCCCCTGGAGAAGGGAATGGCAACCCACTCCAGTCTTCTTGCCTGGGAAATCCCAGAAATAGAGGAGGCTGGCGGGCTGCAGTCCATGGGGTCGCAGAGAGTCTGACATGACTTAGCAACTAAACAACTTCCATCTCCTGACTTCCTGCCCCAGCTCCTCTGACTGCGCCAGGACTCCCATTCCTTCTCCGCTGTCTAGGCTGATCCTTTAGGAGCCTCAGGGCGTGTGCTGTGCAACCTCCAGGAAGTGTGGGGAAGATCCTTCTCAACCTCTAGAGTCCAAGACAACAGTCAATTTATCTGTCCCTTTCAAGATGAATTTTTTAGAGTTGTTTTCCTTTAAGTGGCTGAACTTTCTACATTTCAACCACTTTGGTTGACCATCTTCCTCAAATAGGTCAGTTGCTGTGATGTGTTTTATTATTGGTCAGTTGCTGTGATGTGTTTTATTATTATCAATACCTGTAAAATTTAAAAATGTTTTTGATGATTCAGGGACATTAACCCATCGACAGTGAACATTGTAGAGTGCTTGGCCCCATGCTACAGGGCTTGGATGTCCTTGATTATTAATTCTCCAGTCGCCTCTCCTTTTTCTTTTTCTTCCTCATTTTCAGTTACTACTGTCAGTGTGCAAAACACCTGACATTCCTATTTGATATCCTCCTCTGACTTAAGCTATTTCTAAAATAAGAGTAAGTTAAGTAGGCCACATTTAAATACCTGAGGTGTTTCCATGACTAACGGACGTTATACTTCATGAGTATAAACTGGTTATTGGTTAGCTTGAACCAACTCACAACTCTGGTATAGAGAGCACAGATAAAGACAGTGCTGCTGATCTTTATAACACTTCTGCCATTCTTGGGAAGAAAACTGTACATGGAAAGGACTGTTAACCTTGGACCATGAATGGGCTTCAGAGCCACTGAAATTGTATATAAAAACCTGAGTAAATGTGAATTCTTCTGGGGCAGACAGTTTTATCACATTCCCAAAGATGCCCAAGCCTAGAAAAATAAATGAGGAGCCACTGCTACCAACAGCTGCCTACCGAAGCCTCCAGAGTAAGTGACACTCCACACTGTCCTCATGAGCATCTGTCCTGAGTTCCTAGTACTGCTAGTGACCTATGAGTCTCACTGGGACAGTGGATTTTCAACAAGAGAACCTGAGAAAGCTTGAAAGTGGCATTTCCACAAGTGTGATTCTCAGGATGTTAACGGTTCTTTTATTGTTAAATCACATCAGGAAACACGACAAAGTTACATCGATTTCCTTACTCTGGCACTCTGGGTACTTGTTTTCCTTGTAAATTTTTAAGGGAGAATTCAGGCTCATGTAGTACTCATTTTCCACACTTACTGAATCACAGAATTTGAGTTTTCCAAGCATATTGCAGGGCTAGTATTCCTTGGGATACACTTTGGGAAACAATGCTTTAAAGCTGTCAGAAAATTATATTTAAGAAGCTAAATTACCAAACAGATGCTGTCATATTTGCTGGTTACCAAAACCTCAGAGGACCTTTGGTCCCTCTCCCACCCCAAATGAAGCCTCCTTCATGAAGAGATTAAAGAACTCAATCAGGCCAGTTAAATTCTATTATGTGCTTTGCCAATATCTTTCACACCATACATTGATGTCAATCAAAAGAGTTGTGAGAAAATGTTTCAAAAATACTTTTTTAAAAAAACCAAGTTGGTTATGAGAGTTGGCCTTGGTCGCACAGTGATTTTCATACTAGTTTAAAAAGAGACGCCCTGGCAGCCCACCCAACCCCTTCAATACCTTTTTCACTTTTGTATTTCTGACTGAGAAACGACGAATAGTATAGCAGGCATGTACTTTTGTGCTCTTCAGGGTGACAATAATGTTTCCATACTCCTCACTGTTCTCTGTGGGCCAATACTGATCACATTTTCGCTGCAAAAAAAGATTAATAAAGTTGTAAATTATAACTGCAATCAATACCACAATTCCACTGTTGTTAATATGATTTCAAAATGGCAGTGTTGAAACACAGGTACTATCACTATGTGGCTGACTAAATCAGGAATGAATGGGCTTAAGTCCTTGAAGGCAGCTGCGACCCCTGCAGAGGTTAATCTTGGGACACATGTGGGCTAGATCATTTGAGGAATGCGCTTAGTATTTGTGACCATCCTGCATCTCATGACGTACTTTAAAGAGGGTCTAAGAAAAGTCCTATATATTCGACCTATACAAAATGTAGGTATGATATGTTGCCAAGGAAGTTTAAGTATCATTTGGGAGGTTGGCCTGCATTTACAGGTAAAAGAAAGTCTCTTGTGGGACTTCTGGTGGCCCAGTGGTTAATATTCTGCACTTGCAATGCAGGGGGTGCAGGCAGGATCCCTCACTGGGGAAATAAGATCCGATATGCCACATCATATGTGGCTAAATACACTAAGGGGGGAAGAAAAGGAAATCTCTTATAACTGTGACAGCCTTTGTGTTAAAAACTGGTCACCAATTTTGACTCTACGAAGTGAGGCAGTAGTTATTCTGAGTAAGGGACTACTCTTATTCTATTCCATTCCATTAATTAATTAATATCTAATGTAAGTTCAAAATCTGATAAGTTAAAATATGACTCATCATCTTATAAAAAGATTCTCTTAGTGATGGTCGAGGTGTTGAAGCAGTCTTTACTCCCCTGGATTTGAACTACTAGTAATTCCTTGACTATATACTGTTTCTTCCACCGTCCCTACTTTTTTCTTTCTATCCACTGTACTTAGAATGTCCTGCCTTCTCTTTCATTGTTTAAATCTCACCTCAAACATTAGCTCTTTAAAAAGATATCTGTACTATAGATACGTCCATGCATTTTGCAGCATCTTCCTAATTAATACCTTATTCCTCTTTTTTTAAAGCCTTTTATAAATGTATTGTTAATCTATTTCAGAAAGACAGATTAACACCTAAAGATACCCTGTTCACCTTGATCATCATGTTTAATCCACTCTGGTAAGTGCCCACTTTCCTGGCATGGAGGACACTACTCATTTCTCTAACTCTTTTGGCTTTATCAAGTTTCTGCCCTACAGCAGACGCTCCACAAGTAATTTTTTGAATGAAGGTACATGAGTAAAAGTTCTTACTCTTCCTTTCTCCACAAGGTTTGTAATCATGACAATGATCCCCGTGTTTTGTTCCCAAATCATCCTCCAGAAATCTTCAAACGTGGACTTTAACGGTCCCTGGGTGGCGATGTAGGCTTTCGCTTTGTTGTAACCCTTCAAAGATGACACAGCACACAGTAAGATGAAAGCAGTACGCCAGACCGGGTAAATAATTCAAGTGCCTTCCACACTGAATAGGCTGCATTTCTCATGCACGCTCTGTGCAGTACGAAAACACACTCAACCGTCTCAGCAGCACTCTTCATTTATCACAAACAGGTTTAGGAAAACATTTCCGACTTACATCGACATAGTTTGCATTAATGTAGTCGCTGTGCTTGGAGTCTTTTCCTGGTAAAGGTCTCAGCTTCACCCTACTGTGATCGTCTATAGAGGGTAAGAAAGGAAAAATGCGAAAACAAGGTGTATGATTCAAAAACTAGCAGCATTCTAAAGCACACAACAAAGCAAAGAGGCAATGTGGCATCTCCCAGGGCGCCCCGAGAAACCTTTGGGCAGAAGAACAACTAAAACGTCAAAGCTACAGCATTCGAACCCATCTCCATATCATGGGGACACTCCCACCCTGTGCTCTGACCTGTGAGTGCTGATAGGCAAGAAATGCAAATGTTGGTCCTTATTAATTCATGTAAGATGATTCAAGATGCAACCCTCTGAAACCTCCCATATCCTACATTTTAAAACAAATTTCCAAGATCTTTGAATACCTATGTTCCATCCCCTCTGTCCATTGGTACAGATATAAAAAGGTGCTTCTTATATCAAATCCAGAACATCAATTTTTAGGAGATGCCACTCAGCTGGACTCCCCACCACCCTGAGTAACTGAGGGAACTGGAGCTAGCTTCTCAGAGTAATCTCGTCACAGGCATCTGAAGTCCATGATCAGATTCAAGACCCACTTAACCTTTGCCTGTGAACAAAAGGTGAGTCCTGATACGTGCCTCTGTTGTCCAACAGAAGGAGCTTGTATTTATAGGGTAGCAAATAGAAGAAAGCTGAGGTCATACTTTTTTTTTCCCCCTAGCTAGAAAGAGAATGGGCAAAAGCTGATTTACATTTCTGTTTATAATCACGATCATAAAAGCCTAGTTTGAAAAGAAGTCCAATGAGTGGATTAGTGTGGACATTACTGACCTCAGACTACATCATGCACTTCTGGGAAGCCCTCCACATTCTTGAACTATGAACTGCCTTTTGTGCTGAGAAATGCACAGACTGCAGTGAATCTAAACAGGGGCTGCCTGTTGAATCTAAACAGGGGCCCCACATGAAAATATTCTCCTAAGGCATCTGGATTCAAACTCTTTGTAGCATTATATTGCTACAGAAAGACAAATAAGAACACATACTCAAGGTGCATCCTTCATAGTCAATCAAAAAGGCAAAACACTGGCTAAAAAAGATAAATACTGGAGGTGGCATACACATCTGCTTTGAAAGGTGTGATGGTTCCATGAGAAAAGGCTCTTCCTATATTGTGTATCCAGCACATTCATGGACTAATTCTACTTGTTCCATGACATTTCCATGCTATTCTCTGCTTATGAAAGCATTAATATAAGGGAAGACCAAAGTGATGGGTGATTTGCCCAGAATCTGACCAAGTAGCCAAGATAGTACCAAAATCTAACTCTCTGAACTTGTGAAAATAAAACATCTAATTTGAATTTATGAAAATTATACCTCAAGTAAACTTGTGAAAGTACAAACACATCTACCCAGAAATGGTGGTTTTCTGGCAAAATATGATGACCCTTGAGCACATCACACAGAGTTGCTCTGACTTCCTCCCTCTTTGCCACATACTTTTAGCTAAGGCAGTGAGGTCACTAGAAGTAGAGGTTGCCATGGTGGAGAGAGTGATGTGGACATATGTGAGACATATATATGTGTGTATCTCTGCCTGACTTCTGTGGTCAGATATGAGGTCTGTAGATGCACAATTCCTCAGAATCTCAGGGAGGTGAGCCTTGACTGAGTTGGTCAACAGACGCTTCTTGAGTCAATCCATCCTAAGACTGATGAGAAAAGTAAAGTTTGACTCTACTTCCTTGTTCTCTTTTTCTCCTCCTCATTCTCTCAGATAACTGAAACAAAGACTCTTATTAAAAGATGACTTTCAGTTCTTTTAAACCTTTTTCTAGAAGTAAAACTATACTCACAGCTGACATAAGGTTGTACATAGAAACCCTAAGGTCATATAAGACAAGCCCACAGCTAATACCATACTCAACTATGAAAAGCTGAAGGTTTTCCCTCTAAGATTGGCAGCAAGACAAGGATGTCCATTCTTGCCATTTTTATTTGTCATGGTGTTGGAAGTCCTAGCCAGAGCATTTAGGCAAGAAAAAGAAATGAAAAACATCCAAACTCAAAGGAAGGAGTAAAACTGTCACCATTTGCGGATGACATGACATTATATATAGAAGACTGCGAAGACTCCATGAAAAAACTGTTAGAACTAATAAATGAATTTGGTAAAACTGCAACATACAAAATCAACACACAGAAATCTACTGAATTTCTATACACTAAGAATGAATTATCAGAAAGATAAATTGAGAAAAAAAATCCCATTTATTATTGTCTCAAAAAGAAGAAAATACCTAGGAATAAACCTATCTAATGAGGTGAAAGACCTGTATGTTGAAAACTCTAAAACACTAAAAGGAAACTGAAGACACAAATGGAAAGATATGCTGTGCTCATGGATGGACTAGAAGAACTACTATTGTTAACATGTCCATATTACCCAAATCAATCTACAGATTCAGAGCAATCCCTATCAAGATTCCAATGTCACTTTCCACACAAACAGAACAAACAATCCTAAAATGTGTATGAAACCATAGAAGAACTCAAACAGCCAAAGCAATCTTGAGAAAGAAGGCTGGAGGCATCACACCCCTGCTTTCAAATTATATTACAAAGCTATAATAATTTGAAAAGTACTTGCATAAAGACAGACACATATATCAATGAAATAGATTAGAGAGTCCAGAAATAAACCCACACATACACAATCAATCTATTTGTGACAAAGAAGCCAAGAACACACAATGGGGAAAGGATAGTCTCTTCAATAAGTGGGGCTGGGAAAAATGGGCAGTCATATGCAAAAGAATGGAACTGGATTACTATATTACAACATACATAAAAATTAAGTCAAAATGGATTGAAATTGAATTTAAGGCCTGAAATCATAAAACTCCTACGGGAGAACAGAAGAGAAAGCTCCTTGACATAGGTCTTGGCAGTGATTTTTTTTCAGTCTGACACCAAAAGCAACAAAAGCAAAAACAAGCAGGTGGGACCACATCAAACTAAAAGCTTCTGTACAGCAAAAGGAAGCATCAACAAAAGAACAGGCAGCTTTACTGAATGGGGAAGAGTATTTGTAAATCATATGTCTGACAAGGGGTTGATAACCAAATTATAAAAAGAACTCATACAAATCAATAGCTGGCAAAACCAGCAATCGATGAAAACATAGACAGAGAACCTAAATATATATAGGTTCCAAAGGTTCCAATATATATCTAACCCAAAGAAGATATATAGATGGCCAATGGGCACATGAAAAGGAGCTCAACCATCACCAATCTTCAGGGAAATGCACATCTCACACCTGTTAGAATGGCTATGACCAAAAAGATAAGAAGTGTTAAACAACTTTTAGAACTAATAAATAAGCTCAGTCAAGTTGGTAAGATACAAGGTCAACATACAGGAATCACATTTCTATCCACAGTCTGAAAACACCAAGGAAACAACTCCATGCAAAAAAAAATAATATACTTAGAAATAGATTCAATGAAAGCTTAATACTTGTAACATACAGATTATAAGGCATTGCTGAAAGAAATAAAAGATGATTTACATAAACGGAGAGATGGCCTATCTTCATAAATTGGCAGAGCTAATTCTATTAATATGTCAGTGTTCCCCATATCAGTCTACGGAATGAACATAATCTGTATTAAAATCCCAGCTACACTTTCTGCAGTAACAGGGAGATCCTGAAATTCACATGAAAAACAAAGGATCCAAAACAGCCAAAAGAATCTTGACAAAGAAGACTAAAGTTGAAGGATTCAGTTTCCAGTTTCAAAACTTATTACAAAGCCATGGTCAGTAAGTTATCAAGACAGTGTGACACTGACATAAAGATCAGTGGAAAAGAAAGTATGGTAATAAACCCTCACACTTATGGTCAATTGATTTTCTGTGGAGTGCTTAAGACAATTTAATGGGGAGAAAGAAGAAACTTTTAAAAAAATGGTGCTGAGACAAATGGATATTAACATAGAGAAGAATGAAGCTGGACCCCTACCTCACACTGTATACAAAAATTAACTCAAACGGGTCAAAGACCTAAATGTAAGAGCTAAGACCAGAAGATGCTGACAAAAAAAACCCAGGTATATATTTATGATCTTGGATTAGGCACTGGTTCATTACATATGACAACAAGAGCACAGGAAACAAACAAACAAAAAAAAAACTGGGTTTCACCAAGGTTTTAAAAGTTGGTACTTTAAAGGACATTTATCAAAGAAGTGAAAAGATGACACATAGAATGTAAGAAAATATTTCGAATTTATCAAGAATTCAACAATAGAAAGGAGTGAACATATATAAAAATGAGCAAAGGATCTAAATAGACATTTCTCTAAAAAAGACAGAAAGGTGGCCGATAGACACATGGAAAAATGTTCATCATCACTAATCATTGGGAAATGCCAATCAAAACTAAAACTACAGTGAGATACCACTTCAAGCTCATCAGGATGGCTATTATCGGGGAAAAAACAAAGTAACAAGTGTTAGCAAGGATGTGGAAACACTAAAACCTGCATATATTGCTGCAGAGAATGTAAAATTTGGTAAATAGTTGGGCAGTTCCTCAAAATATTAAACATAACGTTACCGCATGACCTAGGTATTCTAATCCTAAGTATATGCCCCAGAGAACTGAAAACAGATGTCTATATAAAACCTTATACACAAATGTTCATCACAGCATTATTAATGACAGTAGGAGCAACTCGAATGTCCACCAAATGAGAAATGAATAAACACAACATGGTGTATCTACACTATGAAGCATTATTCAGGCATAAAAGCAACTCCATGTGTGTATTTTAACAACATCATGCTGAGGAGAAGCAGCCAGACACAAGGGCACATATAGTATGATTCCATTCATATGAAATACTCAGAATAGGCAAATACACCAAGAAAGAAAGTAGGTGCGGTTTTTAGGGACTTGGGAGCAGGAGGAATTAGGAGTGACTGCTCATGCATAAGGGGTTTCATGTTGGGGTGATTAAAATATTCTAAAATTAGATAGTGGTGATGACTGTACAACTCTTTATACTAAAAACCACTGAAATTAAATTTAAAATCAAATTATCTTTAAAATGGATGAATTTTGTATGTTATATAAATTATATCTCACTAAGTAGTATTAAAAATCCATCTACAGTAATGTGTAACTTTAAATGCACTATTACATGAAATTGTATGTACTGTGCTCATCATAGTATATGTTAACCATAAACATCTGTGCTCCTGCCCTTAATATTGAAGTGTGTATTTTCAACCAGTGAGTCAAGTCTTGGTGTCTGTGAAAAGTGGCCTTCCAGTCACAGAAGTGGCCTGTCCTCCTAGCATCCTTGAGGCTCTGGAAGAACTCTTATTTATTTGCTCCTGAACTTCCAGGGTACTCATGGCCCTAGAAATGTTTTAGACAGGACTAAACACATAGGCCAGAAGGACTGGAAAAAACCAGTTACCTAATCTTTGAAAGACTGCTCTGAAATTCAACTTCCTCGATTCAGCTGTCAGTATTTCCATTTGCATTAAAAGGCTTGGCTGCTCACTGGTTAAAAACAATGTTAGGATAACTACATGACATTAAAGTTTGGTTCCCAACACTGGATACGAAATCACTTCATGTAAAAACAGTAAAGCTCAGAACATTTTCTTCGATCGCCTGATTATGACAGCAGAGATCTGACAGCTTCATGAAACACTAAGGGGGCAGAGGATGTCCCCACTTCTTCTTACACATTGTTGAAGAAGACAGGCCAATGAGAGGTAAACTTGCAAGTGTAATGAGCCAGCAGGAAGATTTCATTTCCTTGCAGTTGAAGATAGTTTAAAGTTTGTTACTCACATGCTAAAATATTGATGTATCTGTTTTTGTGCTTGTTATCTGGATGGTTGGAATGTTCTGCAGTGATATTCATATCAGCCGTGCAGCGCTGGACTTCCTAGAGAAGGAAATAAACAGGGAGATTACCAAGAGTTTTAGACATGCTTTTAGATGCTGAACAACAGCCGAAAGAAAGAATCTATAGACACCCAAAAGCCCAGAGCCTTTACTCACGCCCCAGTCACTGGCCACCATCACCTCCCCAAACTCAACTTCAGAAATGAATACTAACATATTCATAACAGATGTATGAAGGATGAAAACAAAATAAAAGGATTCCATTCTTTACTAATTCATCAACCATTCATTTTGCTTCAGATCTGACGTAGGCATGGGGATTACAGAAATAGTGTCTCTTTTTGAATATGCTGCAGTCAAATGGGTGAGAAAAACATATAAAAGCATGATGATAGTCAAATGTGATTAGTAGAAGAGAGGCCTGAAGAAATGGATAGGAACACAGAGGAAGGTTTAGGTGGGAGATAATTCACCTGGGTCTTAAAAAGATAAACAGAAATATTCCAGACAGAAGAATAATCTCCAACATGATTTGCAATATGCTTATATTATGGTCAGCACAGCCTTGTTTTATAACAGACTACAAAGTGACTATCCTCAGCCCTGAAAAGACAGTGTGTGTGTGTGCGCGCTAAGTCGCCTCAGTCGTATCTGACTCTTTGTGACCCCGTGGATTATAGCCCACCAGGCTCCTCTGTCTGTGGGATTCTCCACGCCAAGAATACTGGAAAGCGTAGCCATGCTCTCCTCCAGGGAATCTTTCTGACCCATGGATTGAACCCGTGTCTCTTATGTCTCCTGCACTGGCAAGCAGGTTCTTTATCACCAGTGATACCCGGGAAGCCCTAAAATGACACTAATAGAACCTAAAAACTGTCATATCTGACTTAACCACATATGGCTCTGATGCACTAATTTTTTTTCCATTTACTTTTATTAGTTGGAGGCTAATTACTCTACAATATTGTAGTGGTTTTTGCCATACATTGACATGAATCAGCCATGGATTTACACGTGTTCCCCATCCCGATCCCCCCTCCCGCCTCCCTCTCCACCTGATCCCTTTGGGTCTTCCCAGTGCACCAGCCCTGAGCACTTGTCTCAGGCATCTAACCTGGGCTGGTGATCTGTTTCACCCTTGATAGTATACTTGTTTCAATGCTGTTCTCTCAGAACATCCCACCCTCGCCTTCTCCCATAGAGTCCAAAAGTCTGTTCTGTACATCTGTGTCTCTTTTTCTGTTTTCTGATGTACTGATTTTTAACTCTAATTTTATTTACATGATCCTTCTTTAGAAAAACACTCATGGGAGAAGCAACTCTCTTCTTCTATTACCTTTGCCATGGATACAAACATTATCCATTAGCCTAATAAAAGATTGCTAAAAAAGCCAAATTTTTCTACACCATATGCTTCAAATCCCAAGAAACCACTGGCGCTAACTAATAAAGGAAGTCATTTGCAGTGCACAGCTGCGACAAAGAGCAGGGCAAAGCGACATGAGGGGACCGGGAAAAACCTTTGACATGTGACAGATGTAACGGAGTTTACGAGTGTGCAGACTTTTCTTCACAAAGGAGCTGCACGGCAGGTAGGGATGATGCCCAGAGCACGTTCACCATGCAAGGGAAACCGATAAGGAACCGGCTGTCTTTTATATTCACAAAGTACGTACGAGGGGCTCACCATGATCAAAGAACGGAGGCAAAAAACAGCAGGTCACTACGTATTCAACACCATATTCACAGACACCTGATTCCTGGAGGATGTACACTCAGGTTTTCAGAATCGGAGGCACTCCCGGTGGAAGGAAGAATGAGAAAGAACGAAAGGAAGAAAAAGAGGGGGCTTCCCAGGTGCTCTGTGGTAGAATCTGCCTGCAAGTGCAGGAGACGTGGCTTTGATCCCTGGTCTGGGAGGACCCCACATGCCACGGAGCAACTAAGCCCGTGCACACAGTTCCCGGGCTCCAGAGCCCAGGAACCACACCAGGAGAGCCAGAGCACTGCAACCAAGAGCTGCCCTGGCTCCCCGCAACCACAGAAGAGCCCGTACGGCAGGGAAGACCCAGCACGGCCAAAAGTAAATACACAAAATCATACATTAAAAAAAAAAAGAGAGGGAAGGAAGGAAAGAGAGAGCGAGAAAGAAAAGCCACATCCATTAATTCATCTCTCTGGAAAAAGTGTGTTTTTCATGACAGTGCGTTATCTTTTTTTACTTTGACTAAATGTGATAAACTCTGATACCTGCTATTCTATCTAAAATGGTTTATAACCTACAGTTTGGCGAATGCTGGTTTAAAAGGCCTGAAGGCTGCCTTTGGCTGTTTTCTCTAAAATAGACATAAAATGTGAGTGTAATTTAATGAGTCTGCTGTTTTAACATCTCCAGGAACAGGAGCAATGCTAGCCACACTCAGAATATCTGCCATTCAGGACTGCCTTGAAAGCCCAAGGCGTACTCTTCTGAATAGTTTCGGGGGCAGAAAACCTTTGAAAATGGATTTGTATTCCGGAAGACATTAATTCAGCCTGTACACAAATCTCTGAAATAAGCTGACATGCTTTGGTTCCTGGGTTCTGAAGGTCATACCTTTGGCATGTACCTCTTCTGGGCTGAGCTGTTCAGATATCTTGTGCTGACATTTCAGCTTTGAGTACTTTAGTTGGAGATTCGCCTTATTGATATATATTTTTTTCCCATTGTGTGACTCTGACCACACTCACTGGACTGAGGTGGGGCCTCTATTACAGTCTAATGCAATTGGCTGAGCCTGTGTGGGAGCAGCTGTCTGTACTGTTTAAAGCGGCCATTCAATATGGCCAATCAAAGTCTGCGCTATCTAAAACCCTTGGCCTGATCTGTCGCCTCTATTTCACTTTTCCAATTATGTGAATGACAGAAAACAAAGAATGGCCATAAATAATGCTAAATCTGATTTTATGAGAACCCAAGGGGTTGGCCTACGGCCTTCTGATTTTGTCTTGTGGATAATAATGTCATCTGTAATTCCTTGCAGTACCTACCACCTGGTTCATTCAGATGCTGATAATATCATCTGATCCTGGAGTGCTTTTTCTCCAGCTGAACTGGCATTTCCAAGTTAATGTGATTTTAATAGGTGTTAAGACCCTTTGAAGTGACACTGGCCAATAGAATGTGTACAGTACAGTTACTTAGTCAGTAAACAGATAAAAAGTTTAAGATTTAAGTTTGTTTGCACTTTACTGTCTCTACAACAGAGCTGGAATTCTCAAAATGAATACTATGTGAAATCACCAGGACACACCACCACCAGGAAGAGCTGACTGAAAAGAAGAGATGTGCAACAAAGCATAACTTAAAAAAATGAACCAAAAGGAAAAAAGGAAACTCCAAGTTGACAGATACAGAGTTCTTCGGAGGTGATACGGGCTACATCACCTCCTGCTTGGAGTTGTAGATGGAGGAGGCTGTCCAAAGGCACGTGCTGACCTCCTGTCCTCCCATTCAGAAGCTTAATTTAAGCAACAACAAAAAATAGCTGAAACAGATCTAGAAATCTCTCAGGTTACTCAGCTTCACAGTGAAGCAAGCTGAGAAGGAAATATCTTGGACCTGGTGACCAAGTGTTGGGCCGAGTGTGTCTAACAGCCGTAGTGTCTGAGCTCAGGCAGCCCCCATCTATGTTCAGGGGCCTGTCCTGCCCGAGCATAAGTCAGGCCCGCAGCGCGGTGCATGCTGAGTGTCGGACGCAGAGCTGGCCCTCACCAGGTACTGGTCACACCATCTTCCGGCCTCTCCTCCCCTCTGCTCAGGGGACCACTACTGCCATACTGGCTTTCTTCAAAGGGTGCTTACCTGTGTTTTTCTCTTGCTCAGACACCTCTTAGAGAGATTCCAAACCCCCGAGTCAGGGTTTCAGGGCCCCCACCTATGTACCTCCTCCTTCCCAACGCCGGACAGTTTTAACTCGGTGCCCTTTGAACAGCCTGTACGACCTCCTGCTCTCTGCTTCATCGCAATTTTCCTTACTCAGGAAAGCCTGCGCTCCTCTTCACCCCCCTCTAAATCCGTATGTCTTTATCTCAAGTGTCTGCCTTACCCTCCAGAATATCAACCCGTCTCTGAAGCAACTAGCCCAGGGTCTATTATCCTATAGCTGGTCTATAAAACAGACTTATTTTTTCCTGTACAACTTGACTGACACGTTTTTCCTCACTCTTCGTACAAGCCTCAACTTAAAACCTCAACTTCATCACCTATGATTTCTCTCCTGATAAGGGTTTACAAGGTTTTCCTTTGGGTCATACAAGACCCACACTGGCATTTTGTCCCTGAAGCTCAGGAAACTGCCAGCCTGTAGGCAGCCTTCTTTCTGCAGTTCTCCGCCTCTGTCAGGAGCTCCCTGGTATGTGTCATCAGCATCAGGGGAACTCTGCATCTTACATAAGGCGATTGTGGCCACTGGCCCCTTGGTGCCTGGGCTCGGGTGGACAAAGCTTTGTTCTCTTGATTTAAGAGGAGCAACTGGCCCAAATTCAGCGGAGCTGGAGTTAATTTTAACAGATTCGATTCCCCAAAGGGTCTTGTCAAGGAGGTATTGGCCCTTTGGCCTCATCTCTGCACTCCACCTTTAAGCCTGTGATACTCCTGACCCCTGCCTATTAATTCTGCTGACCCACAGGGCCTTACAGCTCCCCTGATTTTTAAAGATTATATGCTAGCACCGAGCCTATGGAAGCCTCCTTGATTATGACCTGGGAGGCAGGGGAAGAGTGAGGCTGAAGTCAGCTGAGGTAGCCAAGGGAATAGTCACTGAACACTATCCTGACACCAGGATTGATGCTATTTCCAGGGACTGCAAAATCTGCTAGAGGTATAATGTCCCAAGCTTTTTAACAGCCTCCAAAATTTATCTGACAAGGACAAACAGCTTGCATTCAGCATCACCTCTAGACAAAGACTCAAAATTACCAGCGAATCATTTCTCATTCTCCTGTAAGCAGCAAAATTCTGAACATATGACAGGTATTCACCAATTTTTTTTTTTTCCATTTCCCTCCACGATCTGAAAACAAGATGGGGCAAATAATAGAACTTTTGCCGAAAAACCCAATCAAAATTCCTAGTAGCCTTTCTCCTCTGCTTTCCTGGCAGAATTTCATTCCTGGATTGGCACTTCTTTTGCTTTGCCCTCGTTCTGCATTAGCTATGTTCACTTTGGTCTCCCCCAACCAGAATGAACTCTCTGAGGGAAGTTCTCTGTCCAGTCCATCTTTGTGCCTTATACCACATCCAAAGAATGGCAGGAACTCAGTAACGCTAGAATAACTGCCTTCAACGTCTTTTCACGGGCAAACTGGAAAAGACCCTGATGCTGGGAAAGATTGAGGGCAAGAGGAGAAGGGGACGACAGAGGATGAGATGGTTGGCTGGCATCATGGACTCAACAGACATGAGTCTGAGCAATCTCTGGGAGATAATGAAGGGCAGGGAAGCCTGGTGTGCTGCAGTCCATGGGGGCACAGAGTCAGACATGACTGAGCAACTGAATAAAAACCTGGGCAATATTAACTGTCAAGTGGTTTTTTTCTATAATCTTAAGCTTCATTCTTGGACTAATTTCAGGCCTCTATTCCGAAGTTATGTAAGATTTTTGTACGTCAGATTCTCAGCCCTTTGGGAAGGCTCTAGACAATAAAGATCACGTACTGGGCTCCCAGTACTCTTAGCTGTGGGATGGGGTGGGGGGTGGGGTAGCTCCTTTAGTCTAACCTCCCTCTTCTACTTTTCTTGCCAAGGAATTTACTGGTCCGTCAGCTGCCATGATCAGTTTTAGACAGCCACTGATCATCTTGGTTAATTCTCCTCACTACAGGATACTACTTACTTAAATGAAGAGTCTGGATGGCCTTAGGCTTAAACATGTGGGTTTGAATCAGAAAGCTTTGGTCTTAGTGATCGGAAAATGGTCCTACTGCTGCCACTTCATTACTGAACTAACAAATGCCTCAGTCTTCCTCATCTGAAAAATTGGGGACAAAACAGCTCACAGCTCATGGGAGTTATGTCTGAGGAATGAGTGAAATAATCTGAGCAATGGTGCCAAGCAGATACCGGCTGTAATTACTCCACATAAAAGGACCTGGAAATCTGGAGTTGAGGTTTCTACTCTCTTAACACAATGAGGGTTTTGTTTTATTCTTGTTGAATTACGCAAAATCTCTTGTCCTGACCTTATTATTAGTTTTTTACAGTCTATGACTATCTCTTGTCTATAAAATAGCCTTGGTAGGGGAATCTCTCGTGGTCCAATGTTGACTGCTGAGCACTTGGGTTCAGTCCCTGGGCAGGAAACCGAGAGCAAGCTGCATGGTGCAGCCAAAAAAAAACCAGCCTTGATAGTTTGTTAAAGATCCTATTACCGTTTTCCTTTTTAGCAGAGCTATGCAAAAGGAGCACTACTACTGTTTTAAAATACTTCAAATTTCTCCTAAATCAGAAGACCGACAGTATAGTAGTAGGCTTTTCTACTGTCTCATTTCCTTCTCTGCATGACTGTCTTACTATTTTTTTTGGAAGAAAGGATGTTCTTGCTAGGGTGAAGAGCCCTGACTCGAAACCTTTCAAACCAGCACAGCCTGTGAAATAACAATGCTAGAACAAAGCCACCCTTCTCCCAGCCCTCCCGTTCCAGTCCCAAACATACCAGGTGATAAGCTATAGACTTCAATATAGGTGACAAAAGCTACAGCCCCAGTAATTTTTTTTTTAGGGTAGAAATAGGGTGCAGATGCCCAGGATTTGTTAAGAGGCGTGATTTTGATGCAGTGAAGCCCATTTTAAGTCAGAGCCAGTTTACAGAGGTGTAGCTGATTATTTTGAATAATTAAATGGTGTCAAAACCAGCTGTGATGAATAGCACTGGGGCCTCAAATCATAAATAATTGAGAAACTGGAGCTGCATTTGATCATCCTGATCAAATTCTCGTCTCGAGAGGATGAATGTTTGTCCGGAATACCATCAACATTGTTAAATGCCTCAATATTCTTGCTCAGTCATCCAGCCAACAGTCAATTGAACTAAATCACTCGAACACCTCACACATGTGCTGTCCTCATGAATGCAAAATGTCTGACTTCACACCATGTGCTCTGTACTTGGACAGGCACCTTTTTTTGGGTCAGCATCTAATAGCTGCATTAAGCACTTGACATGTGTTTTTTTTTTTTGCTTTTTCCAGGAAACATATGACTCTGCAGAATACATCAGAAGGGTCCTTCTTTCTACCACCTTTGCTCTGCTTCTGCTCCAGAAATAAACAAAGAACCAAAAAGCTAGGAGAGGGATTTCATTTAAAACAAGTTGTCAATATAATTGCCTTTAGGATGGCCTTCAGGGACTCCAAAATTTGCATAGAAACAGGGCTTCTGGTCTTCTTTTTCCTCTCTCCTTCTCTGTGCGAAAATAATTGAGCCTCCCAGCCGTATGGCTCCTAGGTGATCTCCAAGGGCTTCCCTTCCATTATTGCAAGTGAGCCCCTGGACCAATTTTGTGAAAAGAGGTGGGCAGGTTAGCACCCTCGGCGTCATTTCCATTTTAAAGGAGAAATGAGACAGAAAGGAACTGACTTACCCACAAAGCTAGAAGACAGCTGAGCTGCCACGAAAACTTGGCCCCCTCAGCACCACTCACGCTGCCAGAGATGTGGCTCAGTGAAGCGCCTCAGTGAAGAAAAGGGCAGTCTGTTTAATAGCTCCCCATTGACACCCTGTCACTGCCGAGCTGGCACGGGACCCGGAGCTGGCAGGGTGGTGCGTGCTGCTCTCTACCTTGTTTCTTACACACCAGCTCTCAGAATCGGGAGGCTGTGCTCACCCGTGTCTCCTCTCCACGGCTTAATAATCGCGAGAACAAGAACAGTCCACTTTTGCACGGGCTTAACTGTTAACCTAGCACTCTCCGGTATGTTCATCATTCGTTTCTGCCAACAGGTTGGGGTAGGAGGTGACGTCACTGCCATTTTCAAAAATGAAGGGCGGGGGATGGGGGAGGCTTCTGGGGTGGCTCGGTGGTGAAGAACCCGCCTGCCAGTGCAGGAGACACGGGTTCGATGCCTGGTCCGGGAAGATCCCATGTGCCATGAAATAGCTAAAGCCCGTGTGCCACAACTGCTGAGCCTGTGCTTTAGAGGCTGGGAGCTGCGACTACTGAAGCCTGCACGCCCTAGAGCCTGTGCTCTGCAAGGAGAGAAGCTGTCACAATGAGCAGCTGGTCTATCTCAACTAGAAAGTGACCCCTGCTCTCCATAGCTAGAGAAAGCCTGTGATGCTACAAAGACCCAGCACAGCCAAATAAATAAATAAAATCACACAGAAATGAGGAAACGGGGGCTCAGAGGTGAAATGACTGACTCCAGAATGATAAAGATGACTGCTGGCGGAGCCGGCCTCTGACTCCTCAGACTGACAGCCCGCGCTCTCCCCTACAGCGTGTGCCCCCAGAACGGATGTGGAGTCAGGAGCCTGTCCTCTGCCCGACGACCGCTGTCCCAGTGAGAATGCAGGACAGAGTCCGAGTCTGCCTCTGTCCTGCCGCTGAGCCTGTTTTCTCACAGAAGTGCACGCTCACGAAGTGTGCAACCAGCCCTCCTCCACCTCACTTGCACTGGGAAAGGAAGGCCCGTGAGAACTCTCAGTGTAAGGAAGAGAGAGTCAGTCCCCACTTCCCTCAGTGACTGCTTTTGTGGTGCTCGAGATAAGTTTACAGACACATCCCTGTAAAAGAAGAGTTAGCTTTCTGGGAAGTCCGGTTTTGAAGCATACCTCAAAATCCTCGGAGAAGCCATGCTGGTTATTAGAATAGAGCTCACCAATGTGTTTAACAAACTGTTTGACAGGAATGGCTTCCATGTCATCTGTGGGAATAAAATAATATTCAGAGTCACATAGAGTCCTTTCAGAAACAAATGACACCGATAAGGGAATTCCTGAAGACAGGTATTTGATTTCTGCAAAGAGTGATATAATTATATCACCTGAAATAGACGTCTTCCAGAAAAATGCCTTCTCTGGATTTACTTGACATTGGGGTCTCATTATGATTTTTGAATGCCTAAAAGCTAAGTATGGTTTTAAAAATGGTCTGTAAAGAATCACCTTTAGTTTTCATATTCAAGGCAATTTACGTACTTAAATCACCACATCAACTAAAACTGAATTTACCAAGTGTACTTGTTTGTTAAGAAATGTTATCACGACCTAGGTTTTTCAAGAATTTGCTATTCAGTGGGGTCCAGACTGAAGTTGGAACAACTCAGTTCTGTTTCTGATCTTTGAAGTCTATGCAGTCTTTATACACAATCACAGTCAGTCACAGACAGGTGCCATTGTACCAGCTGGCTTTGGGTACACTGCCATCTACGTTTACGTGTTCACAATTTTCGTGCGAGACAGCTGTGTCTACACAATGCCAAACAACCAGTTTGATGGAATTAACTGGATTTTCTTTTGGTGTTGACAGAACTAGGTACAAATTCGGGAAGACTCCACATTCTAATTTATTTGTAATGCTGTCACTTCAAAAGGACGTTTTCAGTTTGTGAGCTTCATGAGTGTTTTACACCGATTTACCCAGCTCCACTCTGCACCTTGAGGACGGACGGAAAACAACCACACCCCACTCACTGGAGCTGCCCGACAATCCCCCTCCTCTCCTTCCCTCGCCCCTCCCCCGCAAATATTTCCTTTTAAAAATACTCTGCTGAATTTGAGATAAACAACAGACATGACATTTACTTTATTCAGAGTGAAAGATCTTTGGCAAACGCACAAACATCTAAACTGCCACAGATGCTTTTCTTAGCAAAGGGTATGAAGATCTGTATGTGTAAATGAGGTCCTACTTTGGCAAGAATGTTATAGATCCAGGCTTGACAATCTGATTTCTCTTCATCTGGTGACAGTTAACATTGACTATGTCATTCCTTCTCGACTTTCTTTCGAGAGAGCAAAGCTCTAAGGGTGGCTTTTTGCATCTATTGACATTTTCAAACTTGAATCATTCCTAAGAGGAAAAGAAGCGTCTCTCATATACTTTGTTTAAGGAAGGTGACTTATAAATGTTCATAATCCAAACTGCTTAGCGCAGAAATGTGACTTATCAAATAGGGGGTGCCTTGCAAGTACCAATTCTTTCTGTGTGAACCATTAAAGACCTAATCATTTTAACAGGCCTCCTTATGAAAAAAAAATTGCCAAGTTATTTACAAATATTTCAGGATTGAAGATGTTCATGAATATGCAATCATTTTGCACGCCCAAGAAATCTATAGCGCCCATAATGATGTAACCGGCATTAACAAAGTGAGCTGAGCCAAAATGTTTCCCCGGAATATTTAGCAGAATGCACAGTTCAAGAAAAATTTCCCAAATTATCTGATCACTTCACTTAAAATGTTTAGAAGTAAGCAAATTCTATAATAAAGATCAAGTGGCAAAGAAAAGATCTTGAGAAAAGGACTAATGTGTACAAAACTGGAGTGTGTCTAAGAGGTTAACCCAAGAATAAACTCATCTTTGAACAAGAGGCGACATAAATAAGATGGGACACAACCTGGCCCCACAAACACTCCAGCCTACAGACTGCAAGCCACACTTTTCTCCTATTTATTTTGAAATGAAAGACATTTCATGAAAGACACTGTTTCCTAAACTGGAGTGACATGGTAAATAGTTTAATAGGTTGCATGCCTGAGTCCCTTTGGGCTGACCTGAAACTATCACAAAACTGTTAATCGGCTATGTGCACTTGTGCTCAAGTCACTTCAGTCGGGTCTGGCTCTTTGGGACCCCATGGACTGTAACCCAGCAGGCTCCTCCATCCATGGGATTTTCCAGGCAAGAATACTGGAGTGGGTTGCCATTTCCTCCTCCAGGGCATCTTCCCGCCCAGGGATAGAACTTGCGTCTCCTGCACTGCAGGTGAATTCTTTACCTATACCCCAGTACAAAATAAGTTTAAAAAAAATAGTGTAATATGTTGAGGGCAACATTTATTCTGTAATGATAGTTTAGAACTGGAAATCCCCAATAAACTTCAGGTGCCATAATTAAGTACATGGACTCCCAGGTAGCATTAGTGGTAAAGAACCCTCCTGCCAATGCAGAAGATATCAAGAGATGTGGGTTCCAAATCTGGGTCAGAAAGATTCCCTGGAGGAGGGCATGGCAATCCACTCCAGTATTCTTGCCTGGAGAATCCCAAGAGACAGATAAGCCTGGCAGGCTACAGTCCATGGGGTCACAAAGAATCAGACACAACTGAAGCGACTTAGCAGGCATGCATGCCATGATTAAGTACATGGACTCTAGTTCAAAATAAGACTCTAGTTCAGCTTCAGAGTTATTTTACTCCAAGGTACATACCACAGTGTTTTAAAGGGCAGAGTCCTGCTCAAGTCACTAAAAAAAAAAAAATCACTTTAAGGTTAACAATTTATTATTTTTTCCTACAAAATGCTCAACTATACTATCTAAGCTAACACTGGACATGCCTATAAATCAGTCGGTCCACTCCTCCCATGGTTAGAAGCAGCAAAACCCAGCAGAGCTCAGTTCGAGAACTGCATGTGGAAATACACGACGCATTATGTGTGAGAGCACATTTGGTTCTTTATCCAAAGAAGTCTAATCACAATCCTCTAGGTTTTCAAGCACCACCAGTAACATCACAAAACTACCAAACAACCAAACAGAAAGATACATACACACACACAAACACGCATGGTACAGTGACCACCCAGATAACACATGTTTGTCTTTCAATCAAGATAAATGAAACTGAAGGGTCGTAAATCTTTTTTCCTTCGATATTAAGATAAATATAAGGCTGAAGCTAATTAGAAGTCCTAATAGTTTTCCTCTTACACTGGTCTTCTATTAAATTTCTCTCAACATGAGCCAGATAATTATAAAATTACTCTAACTAGCCAGAAGGCCAAGCAATTAGGACAGCATCGTAGACCTGACCTGCTCAGTTTAGATCTGCAGAGAGCTTGTTACAAGAAGATACCCATCTGTGAGATGTTATTTCCACCTATACAGCTGAGTTCCATTAACAAATGTCCCAACTATCAGCAGCACTAACTCTGGACCAGGCATCTTCTGTGCCCTTTATATGCATTAACATGTACTCATTCCTCCCAGCAGCCCTAAGAGATAGACACTGTTTTCATACTCATCTTAAGAGCTGAAAACACAAGCCTGGAAAGATGAACTGAAGCCTGGCGTGTGGCGGTGGCAGCTGGGTGCAGAGCCAAGGCAAAGAGTGCTTCTGATGGGAGAGAGCGGCTGTTGTCTAGGTCACAATGAAGGGGAAACCACTGGAAGAGGTGTTTACTGGGCCCCTAGGACTCAGCCAGATATTAGCGAGATGGTGTCTGCTCAAGGGCAACATGTGTTCTAGTGAACAGAAGAAAGTGAGAGCAAGAACCATGGGAAATGACAAGGTGAAGACTGCCAGTGTCTGAAAACGGGTGGGTTTGATAACTTGGTGACTGGGGAGAAACATAAAGAACAGGAAAAGAGCTGGAATCAAAATGAAGATGTCTTGGGACTTCCTTGGTGGTCCAGCGGCTAAGACTCGGCGTCCCCCAGTGCAGGGGGTCCAGGTTCCATCCCTGGGCTAGTCAGGGAACTAGATCCCATATGCCACAGCTAAGAGTTTTCACATGCCACGATTGAAGATCTTATGTGCTGTAATTAAGACCTGGCACAGATAAATAAATAAAATGATTTAAACAAAAACAAAGATGGTTTCACTGACTACAGGTTAGACGCTGGGTTACTATGATACAGTGAAATGTCTAATGATAGAGTTGAAAGAAATGTGAAGGAAGCCCTTACTGATTGCCAGGGATTATGCTCAGCCTTTTGCATACACATATCTTCACCAGGACCAGGCACAGAGGATGCCATCATCTTCAACTTACACATAAGGAACCTGAGGCAACTTGTCCAAAGCGACACCAGGGCTAAGCGGCAGAGCTGACATTCGAATCCTGATGTATTAAGCCCAAAGCCTGTGCTCCCATGTGATGGGGCACACCGCCTTCGTTCTCAGACCACGGGTGCAAGGAAAAGCAAGAAATTAGGCATAGTGTGTCAGTTAATCTGATAAAAGGTGACCACACAGTATCATTTTGTGCCAATATTTTTAAGTATAGACCTTTCAGATAACAAAGGTTTAAATAAGGCAAAAATGGGATAACTACTATCACCACTACATTACCCTATTACAAAATATTTGATACAGTCAGTTGAGGATAAGGAAAAGTGGGCTTGCTGGTCTTAAATAATATTATTTATACTTTTCCCCAAGATTTTAGCCTTTTGTGGTTGGAATTAAATTGAGCACATTAGAGGTCCTTCATTTTGGTCAGTCCACAACAAAACATCCTTATGTACCACTTCTGATGAAGCCTGAAAGTAGTTTCTGGTTCATACGCATTAAAAGCAGAGCACTGTAAGAGGCTGAACCTCTACTGAAAACAAAGTATGAAGGCGAGAGATTCCAAGAGGGAGAAAAGAGCTGGCTAATGTTTACCTCAAATGCAAATCTGCAAAAAATAGAGAGAAATGCATGTGAACATAAAGAAAAGCTGCTTTTACAAACTAAATGTCCACTGACAGATGAATGAAGAAGATACAGTATATATACATACACATACACACAAGGGAATACTGCTTAGCCATAACAAAGAATAAAATTTTGTCATTTGCAGCAACATAGATGGACACAGAGACTGTCATACTGAGTGAAGTAAGTCAGAAAGACAAATACCATATGATATCACTTACACGTAGAATCTAAAATGTGATACAAATGAATTTATTTGTAAAATGGACACAAAGTCAC